GCCTGGCCTGACACAGTTGCTCAGAACTGAAAGGGGATCCTGGGTCCCAAGGATCACAGATTTAAAGCTGTAAGACACCTAAGAGAGGCCGTTAAGTCCAATTTCCCTCATTTTACAGATGAGGAAACTGAGGCCCAGAGAAGAAGGAAGAGACTTGCCTAAGGTGACACACAGGGAACTAGCTGGACCCCATTCTTAATGTACTTTCTGTGACACCTTCCTGCCTAGCGGCAGTAGCATCTTGGACCACCAGACATACATGTTCCCAGCTCCCAACTGGCTGGTGGGGAAGAGGGGTGAGCTGCTGGCAGAGCTGGGGGATGCTAGTGCCTCCCCTCAACCTGTGGGAGGAGTCCCCAGCCCTTCGCGCTGGGCCTCAGTCTCGGCCCTGAGGGCTCTGCCCAGTCCTCCTGCGTAGCACTAAAAAGACCCCTATATTATGGAACGACTTCTCCACATATGACACCCAGATATGAAATGGCACCCTGGCAAGCCCCTGGGACTGGAGTCAGAAGCCTGACTCTACCACTCTCTGTGTGCCCTTAGACAAGGCACTTCCCCTCTCGAGGCCTCAGTTTCCCCCTCTCTAAGACAGGGAGGTTGGACTAGATGCGCCCCCCCTCCCCCACACACACTGCAGTAGTTTCAGTGGGATTAAGGTCTGGGAATCTAATTAGGGCATGACTGTCACACCTAGGCCAGTATGGAATGGGAGGGGCTGGGGTGGAGCCACAGATGACTCAGTGGGCAGAGGAGCCAAACCCAAAGGACCCCCTCTCTTAGCCCCAAATTCTTCTACCTCCCTTGGCTCCGGGCCTACAAGTGGTGGGAGCCATGCTCTGATTAGCAGAGAGGCCTGTTAAGAATAACAGCTAGTATTTCTACAACACTTTCAGGACTGCAAAGCACATTCCAAATGTTATTTTGTTTGTGCTTCACAACCACCCTGGGATGGAGGTGCTATTACCACCCCCATTTTACAGAAGAGGAAAGTAAGGCAGACAGGTTAAGTGATTTGTTGCCCAGAACCACACAGACAATGAGTGTCTGAAGTCACATTTGAACTCAGATCTTCCTGACTTCAAGTCCACTATGCCATCTAGCTACTTAGGCCTGCATTTTCAAGTCTTAATCCTGAAGTGTCAGAAAAACACAGCCCTGCCCTGCCTCCCCTCCCTGGCCAGAGGGTCAGGAGAGCACTGGAGTCAGCTGGCTCTCTGAGGCCTAGGACAGCCGCAGCCTGGGTGTGGATGGAAGGAAGACACTCTGCTTAAGGAATCCTTTCATTGGAACCTTTCCCCATTTGTAAAACCAAAGCTGGGTGAGCTATTTCTCTAGGAAGAAGTGCCCCCTCCTCCTGCTCTGGGTCAGTCCTGGGGGGATCAAGGAGCAAACATGACGTTGGTGCCATCTAACACCAGCTTCCTGGGTGTCTTTGCTGCTGAAACCAGGAGCTGGATTTTCAAGTCTGGCCTCTAAAGTCTCAATCTGAGTGGTGAGAGGCCTCTGAGGCCAGCCAGTCCAACCTGTATTTGAATAACTGCTCCCAGGTGATGACAAGCAACTTTATAAGAATAGTGAGAGCTAGCATTTATTTATTTTTTTGTTTCCTTTCTAATAATACATACTTCATACTGTGTACTTAAAAACATTATTCTGAGATAATAGCTAATATTTATATGGTGCCTACTATGTGCCAGGCACTGTGCTCATTAGAATTATTATCTTATTTGATCCTCATAATAACCCTTGGAGGTAGGTGCTATTATGATCCCCATTTTACAGATAAGGAAACTGAGGCAGAGGTTGTGACTTGGCCAGGGTCACACAACTAGTAAGCATCTGAAGCTAGATATGAATTCAGGTTCTCCTCATTCCAGGCCTAGTGTTCTATATTCACAAAGTAAATATATACTGGCATATTCCCCCCTGTGAGATAACTCATTACGGTGCACTTTTCCCCCCTACCTAGCTGGAATAGGCCTCTTGCCTTCATTCTTCCTAGTTCACTGTATGCTTCAGCCTGAGGTTCTTGCATAGGCCAGTTGGTCTATGGACATTTGGAACCCAGAACTCCAGTGCATTGCCCCAGGTGTCAGGCAGGACTTCTGAGTACCTCCCAGAAAATGGGGTGGCAGGTATAGGTGAAGAGAAGGCTCTAGTGCTTAAATTCCACCAAGAATACACGCTCTGCAAGGGCAAGGCCTGCCTTCGTATCCCCGCATCTAACAGTGCCGGCACATCAGAGGTGCTTAATAACATTAACTATACATTTTATGAAGACAGGAAACAGACCTTATTGAAACTTGGTTTTCCTCCAATACAGTAGGTAGTGCACATTGCACAGCAGGTCCTCAATGAATGCTTTTTCATGGGTTGAAAGACAATGAGATAGGCCATTGGAAGGAAGCTCCTGTGCACATCCTCCACCTCAGCGCTACCCAGGGAACACAAAGAGCAGCCACTATCTTCTCTGGAAACGGTCTCTTGCCAGCCTTTTTGGTACCTGGCCACCAGTTCCTCACGCCATAGAGAACTGTCCCTTGTAAGAGCCAACCAGAGTTGGGTGGCTGCTGTTTTCACCCTGGGGGTTCCTGTGCCTCATTCTCCGTGACATCCCTCCCAAGCTCCAGCCCCCCGGCAGGTGGCCCTTTCCTTGTGGCCACCTTCATGCTGCCAAGGTGGCGACGGGGAAGGTGCTCCTGGGAGGCAGGGCTGGATGCCAATATCTGGGCAGTCACCCTAACCCCCTCTCCCAACACACATACAGCCTGGGCAGAAGCGCCAAGGGGATGCTTATCTCTGAGCCATGCCCGTGCACAATCCCAGACCAATTAGGCAGAATACTTAATCTACACTAACTTGGGCATCAGTTTTAGAAGTCATAGAATGTTGGTAGCTGGAAGTACTCTTCTAGGCCCACATCCTTTGACAAACAGGGGAAACCAAGGCTCAGGAAGAATGGCCTTGTCCAAGATCACACTGAGTTAATATAGGAGTCTCTTGACTAACAGGCTAGAGTCCTTTCCCCTGTTCCATCCCAAAGTTCCACAGGGTTGGGAGGGTGAAGGGAATTCCAACTTTACAGAGAGGAGAGGGGATAAGGAAGAAAGTGTGGAGACTGGGCATCATAATCATAACAATAATAGTAATAAATTTTATGTGCCACTTTAAGATTTGCAAAATACTTAACATATTGATTCTTATAACAATCCTGGGAGGTAGGTGGTATTATTAGCCCCATTTTACAGATTAAGAAACTGAGGCTGAGAGAATTTAAGTGACATGCCCAGGGTCACAAATGTCTCAGGCAGGATTCAAACTCAGGTCTTCCTGACTCCAAATCCAGCACTCTAACCCTTATGGCACCTAGCTCCCTCCTGGACCCTGTGCAAAGGCTGGCTTCCCAGGGCACGTTTATAGGGGACCCAGAGCTGGAAGGGGCCTTAGAGGTTATCTAGTCCAGCCTCCATTTTACAAAAGGGGACACTGAGATAAAGGGATATGGCCATAGTAGCCTATCTGAGCCTGACCTCAAGTCCTTTGGCCCCAAATATAGCACTCCTTCCCCTGAACCACACTCTCTGCCTTCTTTTTTTGTGGCCTGATGTTAGGAATGATTCCAGACAGATCATGAGGCAGAGACTCAAGATTAGGAGCTGGAAGGGGTTCTAGAGGGCTAGCTGGGGAAACTGAGACCCAGAGAAGGGAAGGAACTTACCCAGGGTTACCCACTGACTTCAATGGAGAGCCAGGTCTAGCTCCTAATCTTCCGTCTCCCAGACTGCTTCATTTTCTGCTATGTGTCACTGCTCCCCACAAACCAGGTTGCCACCAAGAATCGAGTCCACAGTTAGATGCCAGGTCCTGTGCCCCGGCCCAATGGATCTCTGGTGCCTGACAGATGCTCTTGGAGTGTGAGAGACATGAAGGGGCCCCACCGAGACTTCCCCACCCTACTGCTTCTTTATGTTCGAGGCTGGAAAGCTGGCCCAGGCTAGGAATTCAGCTCCCTTTCATCAAGGCTTGCCCTGCCTCCCTCTTCCCCAAGTAGATAAGAGCACAGCCAGCTTTGTTGGAGCCAAGGCTGAGCTAGGGCCAGCCCAAAGCTTTCTGATTAGTGAGTGAGAAGAGAAGCCCATGCTGGAGCCCCGAGTTGAGGGGCTGCATGCTCCACACCTCCTCCTTCCTCACAAGGGGCCCATCCTGCATGTTCTTCCTCCCCAAAGTCATTCCAGCTTCTCCTGTCTGTCTATAGATAACACAGAGTACCAATACCAGCACCACCAGCAGCACCACCAGCACCCTTGTACTGCTCTACCCAGAGTCTTTGCTCTTTAGACCTCCTGAGGTCATCCCACAAGATTCACAATATCAAGTCCTACTCAGAGTCTTGGGCTCTCGGAAGGGCTTCCTGGGGCCTGAGTCACACAGGCCAACAAAGCACGGTCAGACCAAGCACAAAAAAAAATTCTTCTCTCTCTTCAAGAATGAGTGAGGATACAGATGACAATAGCCAGGAAAGGAGCCAATTGATTGAGTCTAAAAGTCAGGCTATTTCATCATTGTTGAATGATAATTATAGGAACAGAGGTGTAGAATGGGGCCCTTTTAGCTCCTCCCACCCCTCTCCCTGGGGCAGAGGCCCAGAGAAGTTCACTGACTTGCTCAAAGTCGCACAGGTATCAAAAGAGGCATAGTCAGAATTTGAACTCGGTCATCTGACTCCAATCTCAGAATTCCTCCCACTAGACCATGCTACTAGAATACATCCTAAGGCTCTCATGTTAAAATAGGACTAGACCCGTGAGATCATTTTGTCTAATCCCCTAGCTTTATAGATGGGGAAGTTGAGGCTCAGAGACATGAGGGGACTTACTTAGGGTCACACAGCAAGTGAGTGGTAGAGCTAGGACTAGAGCCTAGATCTCCTAGCTTCCCCCCTCATCTGTCTCCTGATCCCACCCCCTGCCAGGGGCTAGATGCTTAGCCAGTCTTACCTGCTAATGCTCTCGTGTCTCTGTTGGGGTCCAGAGGTCTGACTGCCACTCTGAAAGTGACAGAATCTTCTGGGTTCTGCTGGCTCTCTCCAAAGAAAGAGCTAGCTTGGGGCTGGGTCCTCAGGGTCAGATGGGATAGTTTCCTGCCTGAACAGAGAGAAAGAAGACACTCAGGAGAGTGGAACTGTCTGGGAGCAGAAGGTTGGGTGCGTTGTGCCCTTCAGGGGAATAAACAGGTTTCTCTTCACACACACACACACACACACACACACACACACACACACACACACACACGCACACACACGCATGCACATACAACACCTCATCTGCCTGCTCTACTGCCCTCCCTCTGGCCCCAGCCATCTCCTTTCCCTGGCCCCCATCCTCCTCTCTTCTCTCCTGGAGGAGGGATTTACTCCCTTTCCATTCCCCAGGCAGGGGGCAGCAGCATGCCAGGCTCTCTCCCATGCCAGCCCCTCTCAGAGCGACCCCAGCTGCTGATCAGAGCCCCAGAGGCTTGTTTGAAAAGTCCACCTTGTGGGGCCAGGTCCCTTTTCTGCTCACCTCTCCATCACCCAGGGGGTGGGGGCAGAGTGGACCCTTCAGACCAGGGCCCTTCCTGGTTCGGGGCCAGGAGCTCTGAAAGCAGCCCCGAAAAGGAGATGCATGACCCCCCACCCAACCCCTGAGCTCATTTACCTGGTCTCACTTTGAGCCTGAGACTTCCACAAGTACTTTTCTAAGCCTGCCCTAGCTGAAAAGTCTTGTTAGTGGGCCCATTTTACAGATGGAGAGCTTAGGCCTAGGGCAGAAGGCCACTAGAAGTCCTTTTTTGGTAGAGAAAGAGACACTTCCTTTCCTCTTGAGATGGGGAGAGGGGTATTTCTCCACTCTCTGCCAGTGGGTATCTGGAAAGGAAATTGGATTGCACTGAGCAGCGAGGGGAAATAACTTGCCTAGGGGCACATGGGACCTAAATAGTAGTGCTGGGATTTAAACCCTCCTCCTCTGACTTCTCATTCCCCTGCATTAGAAGGGTTTGGGCTCTAAGGCTCCTAAAGGCCTGGGGCCCCTAAACGCTACTGAACAATCATGCTGGATTCTGAGGTTCCTTCCAGTAGCAGGGTGTGGTAGGGAGAGAGCCAGCCTTGAAGTCAGGAAGACCTGAGTGTAAGGCCTGCCTCTGGCACATGGTGGCACCTCTCTCTAAGACCAGAAGTTGGAGAGCAGGTGGTGATGTGCATGGGCAAAGGAAGCCCTCTAGACCACTGAAATCCCAGGTCTGGTCTCTGGTAGCATGAAAGAGATGGCCTACACAGAGAGATGTCTACTTCTCCACCTGGGCCTGCTTACAACCTGCTGGGATCTGTTTCTACCTGAATTTGACACCACTGGATTAGATGGTCTCTGAGGGGCCTTTTGGATCTATGATCCCCTCCCCTGCCCCCGGAAACCCATGCTTCTGTAATCATGTGGGGGCCCAGGAAATGGCAGCTGATGATTTCTGTTTATCAGTCATGGAAGGGTCCAGGCCCCAGGGACCCAGATGGCCCTGTAGCTTCCCTACGTACTTCCCCAGGAATGCCATCAAGTATGGTGAAAAGAACACTGAATGGAAGACTAGAAGATCTGGGTTGGAGCAAGGACCCCCACTATGTGAATCAATTTCTCAGAGCTTCGGTTCTCTCCTAGAGGCAATCAATCACTAGGCATGTATTTTCATGCCTACCATGGACCAGGCATTGGATTCAGGGCAAAGGACCCTCGAGATCATCTAGCCCAATCTCTTCATTGTACAGATGAGAAAACTGAGGCCCAGAAAGAGGAAGGGACTTGGTCAAACCTGACTTTCCCGAGGCAGTAAGTGGCAGAGCTGGGTTTGGGACCTAGAGTTTCCTTTTCACTTTAACATTTCCTGAGAGAGCAATGGCAAGTCACTTGACCTGAGCCTCAGTTTCCTGTTCTGTAAAAATGACATACTAAAAATCCCCAAGTACTCTTCTCACAAGGTTCCTGGTGAGAGTCAAGTGAGAGAATGTATGCAAAGAGGTTTGCAATGCCCATGTTATCTACTCGCTGCAAACACTGGGATGCCCTGGTACAACTCTAAGGACTTCAGATAGGGGTGCAGTGCCTGCTGGTCAGACTGAGGCAAGTGGACAAGTGGGCAAAGTGTGGAGAGTGGCTGCTTTCCAGAATTTTGTTTCTTTTTTTTCTGTACCAAGAAAAACAGAATGGGCCTCACAAGCTGGGCTGTTTCTGAGCACTCAGGGCAGTGCCACCCCCCCCCCTCCACACACAAGCAGTTTCTGATGAAGAGATTATCTCTGCTCTGGGGAACAGAATAATTCTCATGTGCCAACTGGGGAGCTTCCCAGGCTGAGGAGGCGGAAGGTGAGTGGGGCTGGGAGTAGTGCTGGGTCGGGTCCTGGGGAGGGGTGGAGGAAGCAGTTGGATGCCCAATGGGCCTGGGCCTGGGCCTGGGATCCATGGCTAGACCTCCAACTCTTGCTTTGGGCTAGAAGCAAGGCAGGGCCTGGGGCCACAGTGGGGGGGGGGACGGGGGGGGGGCTGATGTGGAGCCCAAGGTCGATGGGGAATGGGGGGAGGGGTCAGATTTCAGGCAAGACACTCTAGCCTTCTGTGGGAAAAGCTTGGGAGGTAAAATTGTTGTTTGTTTCTGGTCTGGACCTTGGATTGCATTGGTATAGGGAACTCCTGGTATGAAAAATTCCTTCTGCTAATGCAGATCAGCAATTCAGTGTGTAACTTTATAGTTTTAGACAGTTTCCTAGGGGGCACATAGGGATTAAGTGACTTGCCAAGGGTCACAGAGCTAGAATTCAATGAGCCGGAACTTAAATCTAGGTCTTCCTGACTCCAAGGCTGGCCCTCTATCCAGCCTCTGTATTTATGCCATACTGACTTTCTGACATTTTAATGTGTCTGTGTGTATATATAACACACACACATACACACACACACACACACACACACAACACACACACACACACACAACCCACCCTACTCTCTCATAAAATTGTAGAGCACTGGAAGGCTGGAAGATCCCTTACAGGGTAGGTAACCCTAGAAGGCTGGCAAACTGCCCTGGGGAGCTGCCTGCGTGGGATAGGGTATTGGCCTTTCTGCCCCCTCTAGTGGCCACTCCTGAGTTCCACAGCTCTTCGTGAGTTCTGGGGCCCTTGCAGGGAATTCGGACTAACCCCAATCCCAATCCTGTGAGCCATCGTCATATAGGAGGGAGCCAGGCATAGGACTGAGAGCTGGTAGTACAGAGAACTACCTTGAACAGTAGCTAGAGCATCACGCTTGGAGTCAGGAGAGAATACTCTGAGTTCAAATCCTATCTGGGACACTTACCACCTGTGTCCATGGGCCAATCACTGAAAGTCAGAGCTGGAAGGAATCCTTGGAGACGATCGATCTAGTCCAATTGATACTAGGACAAAAAGCTCTCTATAATCAGCCCCAAGAAACCTTTGAGAGAGCTTGAAGCTCTCTCTCTTTTGGAGGATGGGGTGGGGAATAGAGTAAGGGAATTTTTATTTTTTAACTAACAAGCATTTATTTTATGGGCAGCATGCTTCATCATTGGTCTCCTGGACTCATGGCTGGTCACTGCATTAATCAGAGTCCTCAAGTTTTTCAAAGTTGTTAAGTCTTTAAAACGTTGTTGGTATTATAGAAATTCTCCTGGATCTGCATCAGTTTATACTTCCCAGGTTTCTCTAAAACTAGTTGCTTCATCATTTTTTACAGCACAATAGTAATAGTTATAGCTAGCATTCCTATAAACGCTTTTAGAGCTTTGCAAAGCTCTTCACAAATATGATCTCATTTTATCATCCTGAGACATAGATGTTATTATCCTCATTTTACAGATGAGGAGACTGAGGTAGATCAGTTACTTGCCTAGGGTCACAGAGCTACTAAGTGTCTGACACTGGAGATAAAGTCTGAGCTTCCTGGCTCCAGTTCTAGCTCTTTATCCACCAGGCCCCCAGCTGCCTTGGAATACAACTATATTCTATTCATTTATCATAATTTGTTCACTTATTCCCCAATTGATGGACACCCCTTTTTAGTTTCCAGTTCTTTGCCACCACAAAAAGGGGTACTATAAATATTTGTGAACATTTGTGTTCTTTTCCTCTTTCATCTTTTTGGGGTATAGGGTTAGTAAATATACTACTGGGTCAAAGGTAATGCAGTTTAGTGACTTTTTAAATGCATTCTTCCATATTGTTCTCCAGAATGGCTGCACTGATTAATAGCCCCTAACAGGGCACTAATATACATTTTTCCCACAGTCCTTCCAACATTTGTCATTTTACTTTTTTGTTATTCTTTGCCAATGTCATGGGTGTGAAACAGAATGGTTTAAATTTATATTTCTTTAAAAAAAATTTTTTTAGGCAACTGGGGTTAAGTGACTTGCCCAGAGTCACACAGCTAGTAAGCATCAAGTGTTCGGTCTAAGGATGGATTTGAACTCAGGTCCTCCTGACTCCAAGCCCTGTGTTCTATCCACTGAGCCACCTAGCTGCCCCTAAATTTATATTTCTCTAATTAGTAGTGATTCGAAACATTTTTTCATAAGTCTGCTGATAGCTTGGATTTCACTGAAAACTGTACGTGTATTTTATAGTCTCTTATCAGTTGGGTAATTATTTAACTTAATAAATGCTTTATTAATTTATTCATCATTCTTGTTTTTATAAATTTGAATCAGTTCCTTATAGATCTTGGAAATGGGATCTTAGCCAGAGGAACTTTCTACAAATTTTTTTTTTGGTTAACCTTATCCCTTCTAATTTTAGCTGTACTAGTTTTATTTGTTCAAAACCTTTTTAATTTTATGTAACCAAAACTGTCCACTTTACCCTCTGTGATCCTCTCTATCCATTGTTTGGTTGTGAATCTCCTCTCTCTGTATATCTAAAAGGTAATTTCTTTCTTATTCTTTTATGTGACCTTTTACATCTAAGCCATGAATCCATTCTGAGTTTATCTTGGTATATACCATGTGAGTTATTGGTCTATACCTAATTTCTACCAGACTGCTTGCCCGTTTTCCCAAGTTTTTGTTTACCTCATCTGTTCCACTGATCAACCTACTTTTTAACCAGTATCCTTGAAGGTGAGGAGAAACCCACTATCTCCTAAGGCAGTCCCACTTTTGGTTTATAGATCACAGCTTCAGAGCTGGAAGGGACCCAAGGGCCCACGTAACCCAAGCCTCTCTCATTTTACAGATGAAGAAACTAAGGCCCAAGGGGAGATTAAATGACTCGCCCAAATTTGTACCCAGGTACTCTGATGGGAGGGCATACCGATGACAGAAAGATAATGAGAGCAAGCTCAAGGGGTTAGAGAGGGGAGAGAAGTGTAGAGAGAGAAGTTAATAGAGGCATAGAACAAAGAATGACGCAGCACACAGCGCGAACGAGCGAGCGAAAGAGGTGAAAGGAGCGCGGGGTGGGGGGGGGAACATGGAGGTGGAGGGGGCACAAAAGCTAAGAGATCACGGCAAAGACGCAGGGGAGGAGCAAGAGCAAGAAACGAGGACCGCAGGATGGGCGGGAGCAAGGAGAGAAGATGGCGGAAGGGGAGGGGCCAAACGCCGAGATTGCGGAGCCCAATGCGGAGATTGCGGACGAGGCGGGGCTAAAAGCGTAGGTTTGCGGAGAAGGGGCTAAACGCGGAGGTCGTGCGTGTGAGGAGGTGGGAGGTACGTAGGGTTGCAGAAGGGTCTAAGCGCAGAAGCGGAAGGGGCGGGAGCAAAGAGCGGAAGGTGGAGGAAGGGGCGGGGCCAAGCACGGAACTGAGGTTGCGGAAGGGGAAGATCGAGTGAAAGGGAGGCGGGTGAAGTGGCAGAATATAGAGGACGCAAGAAGGAGGGGCTAGAAGGAATAGAAAAATGGGGAAGGGTCTAGAAATGAGGGAGAATAGCAGGGAAGGCAGAGGGAAAAGAGAGAGACAGAAGGGCGGGGCCCGGAGCGCTCGGGAGGGGCTCGGAAGAGAGCTAGAGGGGTGGGGCTCGGAAGGGAGCGCCAGAGTAGGTGCACAGTCACAGTTAACGTATTTTGATACAGTGGCTAGCATTCAACTAAACACACAGGGTTAATTAATGAGGCTCAAAGGAGCTCCAGACAGTCTTCATTCCTGCCAGTCAGCAGCCAGCAAATAATAAAGGAAAACTTAACAGTAACAATAAAAATGCGTTATTTTATATATAGATATTTATATAATGGTTTCATAATCATTTTGCTCAGTAGTCCGACCCAAGAAACTGCCATTCGGCTATTCCAAGCTTGCCCAGTACCTCATGGCCCCCTGAGAGGGCATTGCCCCCCTCCACTTCTTTCTCCATTTCCTCCTCCCTCAGGCTTTCCCCATTTTCTTCTCCGTTTTCCTCAGGAGAAAACGGCCAGTCCAAAGCAAGCCGATGGGCCTGTTTTGTTCCAGTCCCTGACACAGCCAAATCTAAGACCAAGCCTCAAAGCCAGTTCCTGCCTTGGACTGCCAATAAAATTCCTGCCCAACAGCCAAGATGGCTCCCATAGTGGTTAACAGTGCTCAGCAGGGGGGCCAAGGGCTCTACCAAAGGCCTCCATTGTCCAATGCCCCTAATTATTTTTTTTGTCACAGAAGTGACTAGGTCGTAGAATTGGGCCGACCAGGATTCTGAACAAACACAGGAAAAGCAATTCTAATAAAATCAAAGAGAAAAAAGCTGTGCTGCCATTCTTGTAGCAATGTACTGATTTACAAAGCACTACTCAATCTCATTTCATTTTCACAACTCTGAAGGAACTTAAGATAGTATCACTATGACTACTTCACAGGTTAGGAAATTGAGCAGTATAATAACTAAATGAGCTAAAGAGAGAGGATTCAATCCCAGAACTCTCCTCCCTTTAAGTCCATTGCCCTTTCTATTGTTTTAATACCTTTGCTTAGGGCCAAAGCAGGAAAATAAAAACGAGAAGTGGTCTAGAAATGGGCCTTGATATTTGGGAAGCTTTTGAAAAACATCCACGTGTTCCAAGGCAGACGATTAAACCCCCAATAAAGAAGTTACCCAACTAAGGGTCCACAAGGTTGGCCCCAAGGTACACGGAGAACTGGAAAGCCCACATGAAGCGCTCCATCTAGCCAAAGAGAGAGGCACTCTAAAGTATGTTATCACTGACCTGAAACGAGAGTCCAACTCGGAGACAGCAGAAGAAGGTCGCTGCAGTCAACCCAGCCAAGTGAGACTGGTTGAGGCGCAAGGTGGGTACTGCCAGTTATATTGCCTGGCATGAAAGGGAGTTGTCAGCAGATCTGCCCCCTCGGGCTCAACATCTACCAATAATATTGTAGCCTGAGGCTTAGATACAAAGGGGACCCAATCATCGATGGAGTCCCTCTTTTTTTTGAGCATCCAATCAGAACTGGGGGTACAGGGAAACTTAGTTTCAAATCCCATCAAGCCTGAGGGGTTGACTGACATTCTTTCTGGACTAGTAGAAACTTGGTTTCAAATCAGTGACCTAGTGTAACCAATTGTTGTTTCTGGACAAAAGCAAGCGGGTCCTGGAGATTATCGACTCCAACTCCCTCATTTTGTAGATAGGGACACAGGAACAACATAGAAACTAATGTTGGCCAAGGCCACCAAAAGATGTATTTTTTTTTATTACATCTGAGACGCAGTGCTGGGATTTTAACCCAGTTTCTGTGTCTTCCAAGGTCACTTTGCCCCTGCATCATAAATTGGAACCTCAAGAATTCCCACTTAGAATTAGCTAGTTACTTCAAAAGTCAATTTAGCAGGTAGAAGTGTAGAAAAAATGGGTGCTAGAAACCCTCTGGCATGTCTTAGACATTGTGTTCACTTGCCCCAAACTTTTTTCAGTAGTCTTTCCACAATTTCATATTTCTGTAATGCTTTAAGGTCTACCCTTCTCTCACTAAGGCTCTCTGCCAGTACTTCATTGTGCTATGGAGCTAAGTTCTAAACGCCAAGACTAAGCCTAAAAGGTCTCCAAGCATGGCCCTAGTAATTGACTCTGGGCTTGCTGTCTAGAGACCTAGAAAACATCCCAAAACAAAGACAATGGTTGACATTTTCAGAGCACATTACAGTTTCTAAAGCACTTTGCATCAGTTGCCTCTCATTTGGTCCTTCCAGAGGCACTGCACTGTAGGAGAGCCATTATTATTTTCATTGTCTCTATTTTACAGATGACACCACTGAGGTACAGATCACTTAAGTGACATGTAAAATTACACTGCAGAATAAGAGTAGTGCCAAGATTCAAATTCTGTTCTTTTGACTGAAGTCCACTGTAAACCTGAGTTCTTCTCCTCCTGACTTTTTTTAATCCATGTCAAATCCCTGGCTACTAAGTCAGGCAGGGCCTTTCACAGAGGGATTGGGATCTGTGTCAGTGGAGGTCAGATATCAGATTTAGGCTATTTAAAATTTTCAAAACATCTTCCTCACAACACCCAATCCTCTGAGGTAGGTTAGTATTATTGATAGTTATTCTTATTAATATTATTCAGATGAGTAAATGAGGCTGAGATTAAAAACTTGCCCATGATAACACAGTTAGTGGATGTCCAAGGCATTCTGGATCAAATAGAATCATGTATGAAAAAGAACCTGGCAAGTAACCAAGGACAGAAAGGTTAGGCTAGGACTTTCCAAGGGGTCTGCCCTATCAGCAGGGCAATGGTGACTGTGTAAGGAAGAACATGGTCTTGAGTTTGCTCTGGTCTCCCACCTCCAACCACAATAGAATCTAAATTAATGGGGTGTGAGTGAGAGAGAGGTTGACTCAGGCACCCAGACAGAGTCTGTCCTCATCCTATAGGGTTTCTTAATCCTGGCTGTCATGGACCTTCTTGGCAGTCTGGTGAAGTTTTTGGACCCCTCCTCAGAATCATGTGTTTAAATGAAGAAAAAATAAAATACATAGTACTACAAAGGAAATCAAAGGTTAGTAAAATGAAAGTTTTTTTTTTCATATGAGTTCAGAGACTTGGACAAATTAATTAACCCTGCTATAGAAGGAGCCTATATTCCTGAAGGGGTAATAACATAGTCTTCTAAGGGGCCAGGACTGTTAGACTTTTTATTGTTTTCAGTTATCATAAATGTATTTCCTTTCCCTCCCAACATCCACTCTACTGAAGAAAAAAAGGAAACCAAACACTTGTAAGAAATATGCATAGTCAAGAAGAAATAAATTCCCAATTTATCCATGTCTCCCTCTTCATATTGAGCCTATCACCTTCCTGTTCGGAGGTGGGCAGCCTGCTTCATCACTGGTCCCTCTGGAATTTGTCCCTGCAAACAATAATCAAAGTTTTCAAGTCTTTTCAAAGTTGCCAGTCTTTACAAATGTTGCTGATGTTGCATAACATTGTATACAATGTTCTCCTAGCTCTGCTCCCTTTACTCTCTTATCAATTCATACAGATCTCAGCTTTCTCTGAAACTATCCTTTTTGTCATTTATGATACAATAGTATTCCATTCTGTTCATTTACCATAACTTATTCAGCCATTTCCCAATTGATGGGAACCCTCTGTTTTCAGTTCCTTGCCACTACAAAAAGAGCTGCTATAAACGTTTTTGTACGTATGCGTTCTTTGGCTCTTTTAAGCAAAAAGAAATTTCTTTAGGATATAGGCCTCATGGCAGCATCACTGGGTTAAAGGGTGTGCACATTTTAGGAATTTTTTTGTGGCATCATTCTAAGTCACTTTCTAGAACAGTTGGACCAATTTGCAACATCACCAGCAATAGTGCATTAATGTACCTGTCTTCCTTCAGCTTTCCAAAATTTGTCATTTTCCTTTTTTTTTTGTCATCTTTGCCAATCTGATGGGTGTTAAGTGGAACCCCAGAGTTGTTTTAATTTGCACTTCTCTAATTATTTGGGATTTGGAATATTTTTTCATGTGGCTCTTTATAGGTCAGATTTCTTCTTTTAAAGTATGCCTATTCAAATCCTTTGACGATTTGTCAATTGGGAACAGCTCTTATTCTTATAAATTTTTATTGGTTTCACTATGTATCTTAGAAATGAGACCTTTATCAGAAAAAAATTTCCCCCAGTTACCTGTTTCCCTTCTAATGCATTGGTTTTGTTTGTGTAAAACCTTTTGAATTGTATGTAACCAAATTTTCCATTTTATCTTTTGTGATCCTCTCTATCCCTTGTTTGGTCAACTCTTCCCCATTCATAGATCTGAAAGGTAATTTGTTTCCTTATTTATGAAGTCACCCTTCATGTCTATTCATTTGAAGCTTTTCTTAGTATATAGTATATACTGAGCTTTTTATCTTAGTAAATGGGTTACTGGTCTATACCTATTTTCTACCAGATTGCTTTCCAGTTTTCCCAAATTTTTCTCTAATAGTGAGTCCTTACCCAAGTAGCTGGAGTCTTTGGGTTTACTAAACACTAGGCCCCTGTGTTTGTTTGCTTCTATATGTTGTGTGCCTAATCTGTTCCACTCATCAACCTATCTATTTTTGACCCAGTACCAGATTGTTTTGATGATTACTGCTTTGTAGTACAGTACTGGTACTACTAAGAGGGGTCTCAAGTCTTGAGGCTGATCCAAACTTCCTGGGGTTACAACCATTGATCAGAGAGACATATTCTCAAAGAAGCTAAAACCAAAAGGTTGTAATGGAAATAAACCAACTTCTGGAAGGCATGCCAAGCACCACTCTCTTAATTAGGTAACATTTAGGCTCAATTCTGTCAAACATGTCATCAAGAATGCAAATCCTGAAAAAAATGGCTAATGTGTAATATAGTGAGAAAGTCTGTCATGGGATTCTAGACTTTGTTAAGAGTTGTGAGGGATTGGGGACAGCTAGGTGGTGCAGTGGATAGAGCTCTGGCCTTGGAGTCAGGAGGACCTGAGTTCAAATGTGAACTCAGACACTTGACACTAGCTTTGTGACCCTGAGCAAGTCACTTCACCCTGTTTGCCTCAGTTTCCTCATCTGTCAAATGAGCTGGAGAAGGAAATGGCAAATCACTCCAGTAGCTTTACCCCAAAACCCCAAATGGGTCATGAAGAGTTGGATGTGACTGAAATGAATGAACAACAAAAGAGCCTTTACAGGAGAATTTGCTCCCCCATCCGCCCCCTTACTAAGAAATATGTTCTTTTTGCCTTATATATCTATCAGACTCCTCAGTCTGATTCCCACTTACCTTCCCAGCTTTATGTTTTATTCTTCCCTAACAAGCAAATGACCTCCTAGGTACCATATGCAGGCTGGAAGTTGCCTTGGTACCTTTGTTGAGACAGTTCTGCCTGCTTGGAATGTCCCCAGCCCAACCTTAGTTTTGGTGACCCAGCTTAAATGCTATCTTGGCCCTGAAGCCTTCTCTGACCTCCCCAGACATCTACTATTGGGATTGATCTACTACTACTACTACTACTACTACTACTACTACTACTACTGTCTTCTTTTCCTGACTTGATAATGTCCTTGAGGTCAAGGGCTGGGCCTTACTCATCTCTGTCCTTCCTTTCCACTTCCACCCTCTGGCCCCCTTCCCTGTGGCATGCAGCAAATGGCCCTGCCCCACTGAGAATACTCAAAGTTTGTAGAATGAATGGAAACACACCAGGCAGCAGATACAGTACTATGAACTTTATTTAGAAGCAAAACCACAGCAGAAAATTTCACTCAAAAGCGCGTTGTTCCAAGTATCCCACCAATGAGTAGAAAAGGATGAGTGATGTCATGTAATGGCTCCCTCCTCCACCAATGCCTCATGGGGCATAGGGGTGTGTTCGACCCTAGGGTCTCAAAGGCTGTGGCCGGTGGGCAGAGCCTGAGCTCAAGCAGGCTTAGCAGGCTGGAAAGGCTCAGAGTCTGGGCCCAGTGATAGACTGAGCATTTGTTCTCTGAGGGGCTTAGCTCCACAAGGTAAGCCACCAGGGAATGCATTCTTTGTTGGCCACAGCGACTCACGGAAACCATATCCTAAGGCATAAAAAGGCTTCAATCTGCACTGGTAGACGGGAAGAGAGTTACTCCTCGCAGAACACAGAATGGAGCTCTTCCCCTCACTAGGTAACAGAAATAATTTACACGCAGATTGCACTTTACAAAGTACCGTCACATGTTATTTGATATGAACCTCACAACAAACCCTGTGAAGGAGATAGGGCAAATGGGATCATCCCCACTTTACAGATGTAGAAACTGAGGTTCATAGAAGGGAAGTAATTTGCTCAAGGTCACACAACTAGGTGCC